TGGAAGTGAACAGGGAGGTTGGGCTGGGACACAAAGCAGCAGGCAGAAGGTGATGCTGACAGCCCCTCAGCTCCACTGTCAGTCTGTGTGCAGCGACCAGCACGGAGCACCCGCCTCTGCTGAAGCCTCTAGAGCTTTGCTACAAAGCAGACAACAAAACATGACGGCTTCAGATGCCTCGTCTTTGATAGTACAAACAGGATGGCAAAATGAGAATGAATTACGAAATTAAGCTATTTTCACTTGTATAAATATGGAGACATATGTATCAGTATATTTTTATACACACGTATACATGTGGGTTTCCAATATCACTTCCTTTTAAACATGTTTTAAACCCACAAAGATTTATCAAAACTTAACACAGAATGCAAAAGAAGTTGGAAGAAGCCTCACGTAGGAGGCTCTAAAACTAAAACAACCGAGACTTCACGAGACAGGGGACATCCTTGCTTGAGAACAGTATTAAACCACCAACTTTATTCAGGAATACAGAATACATTTTTGAACATTTCCAGTTTACAAAAGTTTAAGACAAGGCTGGGTTTCAATATACAACCTCCCTTAAAGCTCGTAAGCAACATCTCCATTTCAAGTTGACCAAATCCTTCAAATCAGATTAAAAAAAAAGGGGGGGGGAAGGGGGAGGACGGGACAAATGAAGGCCACAGTCCTGCGCTGGGATACATTCAGGCAGAGTCCAGCACAGTATTGAAATTCTTTCTGCAGTCACATATTTTAGTCCACGGGTGCAACACAGCCTTGTGTTAATAAAAAATAATATCTCCAATCTAGTATGAACTGCAAGAAGAGCACTTCTCTTACCATTTCAGTTCCAGGCAGTATAGGAAGAGTAGCTTCTGATGAGCAACAGTGAAAACCGGTACTTGCCATCTGATCACCACGTTAAAGACAGCACTAAATTCTTCCTCCTTTTATACAATTTTAAATATTCATTAAAAATTGAATTCAGCACCAGTGTCCTTTTCATCGTTAATAGTTTTTCTTATCTACTAAAACCATTTGTCTTTCCTAAGATGTCTGAAAAGTAAGGCGCACAAGATTAACAAGCTGCAGCATTAATTAAAATGAGAGTCATCGTCTCTTTCCGCCACCCAGCCTCTAAATCTATCACAAGGGCCCTATTAGCTGTATCAAAGTGAAGTGGTGTAAATAAAACTGATTTGACTTAAAAGGAGAGCAAGAATGAATGCAGAGTTATTTAACAACCCCAGTGCAGTCTGTGTTGGGTATGTCACTGCAGAGGGGAGCCAAGAGCG